TGGTTAGGAACACGGATGGCAGAGCCATTCCTTCAAATGCCTGATCTCCCCCTTGGCAGACTCATAACCTCGGCTCAGTTCCTCCTCTGTAAAATGGTGAGGTTGATAATATTCACTCTGTATTGAAAAACAATGAAAATATGGGAGAGATAAGGCACAAGCTCAAAAATGTTGTGTGGGAAAAATTGAAGCCACTCACTTCAGTGTGTCCCCTGTGGAAACCAGTACTGCATGGAATTGGCTCACTCAGCTCAGTCACAGGATGTCTGAAAAGTGAATTTTAGAGAAGTCTACATTGTGGCTATTTACTAATGAGCTAGCGATGGTATATTGTTTAAAACTTTGTTGTCTAAACTAACTTCATTTTATCTGGTTTACCCTAGGAGAATCATTTAGAAACAAAGATGGTCAATGCTGGCCTGCGATATGGGTATGAATATCTGGGTAATTCACCCAGGCTGGTTATTACTCCACTCACGGATCGATGTTATAGGTAAACCTTTTAACTGAAGGATATATTGGAAATGATTTTCACCACCCCAGTCCATGGATTTATTTAAAAATTCGAAATTATCTCCCATAGTGTAAACTTAGCCTATGTTATTCCCATAACCACTGTTGCTTTTGATGTTCTCCATCTCTCATTTCTTCCTGAAACTCTATGCCTGCTTTTGTATCATTTGAGCAGTGTTATTCCCTCCCTGAAATGCTGAATGTCCTGGAGTTCTGTTGTCACGTGGTGTTTTGTGTCTTCCCAAATGTTCTCGTCCACTTTCAGGCTCAATGACTTACCTCCTGAAGACCCAAATCCATACCTGTCTTGTGAGCTTTTGCTGTACACATGCCTGCTGGATAGCTCTGTTGACTATCTCCTAGGTTCTTACATTTTCATTTTTCCCAAAAGCAGCCTCCTAAACTAGCTTGGGGGCCCGAATTACACCTCAGAACAGGGTAGTTCGAAGCCACCCACTTGGCTCTCTTTACCAAAAGCAAGTTTTGACCTTGGCTCTTCTTAGTTCTTCACATCTAGTCACACTCCAAGCCCTGCTGATTTAAATGAATTAAATTAATTTGTTTACTTCGTCTTTTAAAATTCTACTATTCCCTTTCTTTTATAAAATACAATTTTTGGAGCAGTTTTTGATCTATTGAAAAATTATGCTGAAAGTATAGGGAATTCCTAAGTAAGTACATCCCATTCTTCTGTCATTAACATCTTGTATTAGTATGGTTACATTTGCTACAATTGATGAGCTAATACTGACACATTATTAACTGAAGTCCATAATTTATGTCAGAGTCCACTGTGCTATAGTCTTAGGAGTTTTGACAAATGCATGATGTCAGATATTTTTATTATAGTATCTTACAGAACGGTTTCACTGCCTTAAAAATGTGCTGTGTGCCACGCATTCATCTCTTCTCCCTTCCTTCTGAATCTTAAGACAGCTACCCATAGTTTTTGTCATTGTAGTTTTGCCTTTCCCCTGATGTCACAGTGTTGAAAGCTACAGTCTGTCTTCTTTCACTTAGAAGTATGCATTTATATTTTCTCTGTGTCTTCATAGCTTGATGACATGTTTCCTTTTATCTCTGACTAATGCTATATTAAATGGATGTACTATAGTTTAGCCACTCAGCTTCTGAGGGACACACTGGTTGATGAAAGAAGCTACAAATACTCCTGCACAGAAATTTTGTGGTGATACAAGTTTTTAATCCATTTGGGTAAATACCCAGAAATATGACTGTTGAATCCTGCAGTAAACCTATGTTTAGCTTCATGAGATGCTGCCAGACTCTTCCACAGTGGGTTTGCCATTAGCATTCCCACAAGCAAAGAGTGAGAGTCTCCTTTGTTTCTCGCCCTTGGCAGCCTTTGGTGTGGCTGGTGTTTTGGATTTTAGCCATTCTAATAGACATGTAGTGTCTCTCATTTTATCTTATATTGCAGCTCCCTAATGGCATACGATATGGAGCATGTTTTCATAAGTTAGTTTCTACTTGAATATCTTCTCTGATGAGGTGTTAGTTAGCACTTCCATATTTTATAATCAGATTGTTTCCTTTAAATTGTGAGTTTTAAGTTCTTTGTATATTTTGTATATAATTGTATCTGATGTTTTTTTATAAACATTTTCTTTCCATCTATAGCTTGTGTTTTCATTTTTATAATAATGCCTCTCACAAAGTTCAAATTTTTACCTTATAAAGTCTCATTTTTCTCATTTTTTTCATAGAGCAAACTTTTTGATGTATCTTAATAGTTTTTACCAAACTTGGAGTCATTTAGATTTTCTATGTTATCGTCTCGTTGTAGAGTTCTGTGTTTTACATTTAACTTCATGTTCCACTTTTAATTAATTTTATGTCTACATTCACTTTTGTGCATGTGAATATGCACCGTGTATTGGAAAGAATATCCTTTCTCCATTGACTTATCTTTGCTCTTTCATCAAAGGTATGTTTTTATTTTAGAAATGTTTCTCAAATATGTGTTAGGGATTTGGAGTCCACCTTTTTCTTCCCTCCAGAGCCCAAATGAACTATGGTTAATGGTAAATAGAGTCATAGTTTATATATGGTGGAGCAAGGGTCTGATCCTCAATTCAAAACTCTTGGTTACAATCTGGACTGAAGAATGTACCTATCCTATTATGCCTGACTATTTCCCTCTTCTTAAAGCTAAGCATACTTTCCACATGGGCAAAAAGCTGGTTCCAAGAGAAAGAATAACGAGACCGACTCACTCAGTTCAGCTGATGAATGAGAGCCACATGGGGACCTTGCTCACTATTTACCAGGGTCCCATTCATGTTAGATTTGCCCTCCTAAGTGTGACCTGGGTGAAGAGAGAGATTGGAAGTTTGGGTAAATATCTCTTTCAGATGGCTCTTATAGCCAGCATGAGGAGAAAGGTAGGAAGATGCCCCCAGCACGATTTTCATCTTTTGACTGTACTATCACCACCTTACTAGCTATTTAAATATCTTCCCAACTTATTATGTGCAAATGTAGCATGCAAAGACCGAGAAGATCAACACCAGGTCCACCCTCCAGTGTCACCAAACATGCACCATTCTACTTCTTGACTCAGTACTTTTGTACACACCATCTTGTTTTCCAGGAAAGTTCTTCTCTAACCTTTTGTTCCTCAGTAAATATGACTGTTACCTGCTCAGTTCCCCAAGACATCAGCTTTCACTGTGGCCTTCTTTGCCATTCCTGGCTACACTGGCAGTGTCTGCTTGATGATTCCCATCACACCTGCTGTCTTCTCAGTGCTCATTGCATTGTCAGCTGCCAGCACCAGGAAGGACGCTCCCTGGCTGCCATCCCAAGCTCCTAGGGCAGGGAAGCTGAGCCAGTCCCAGCACCCAGAAGGAAGCTCCCCCGCTGCCATCCCAGGCTCCTAGGGCAGAGAAGCTCAGCTGGTCCCAGCACCTGGAAGGAAGCTTCCCCGCTGCCATCCCAGGCTCCTAGGGCAGAGAAGCTGAGCTGGTCCCAGCACCCGGAAGGAAGCTCCCCGTCTCCATCCCAGGCTCCTAGGGCAGAGAGGGTGAGCCAGTCCCAGCACCTGGAAGGAAGCTTTCCCGACCGCCATCCCAGGCTCCTAGGGCAGAGAAGGTGAGCTGCGCGGGTGCCAGAGGCAATCCCCCCGTCCCCCACCGTGGAAATGAGAAGACACATAAACAAGCCTCAAAAACAGACTTCCAGGTCACCTATAGCAACCCCAAAGGGAAATGAGATGGAACAATCTGATACTCAACCACCTGGACTCTCTGAACTGGCAACAAAAGAGGATCTGGGAAAAATGAAGTCAGAAATAATTACTCAGATAACAGCAAAGATTTTGCTCATTGCATTGTCAGCTCCCCCCAGTTCATTTTAAAGGATGCTGCCTTTCAGACAGGGGATGGCACTTGATGTGTGTCTGGCCTTCCTCCGAGCCCTGACAGAATTGTTTATGGAACACGAAGTCCATAAGTGGGTTTTCAGCCAAGGGCAGCACAGCAGCTCTGACCTTTGCTTCAATACTGGGCCAGTTGCATGGCATAGGTCGGGTCCTGTCACTGAAGTCTCTGCCTGGTCCCAGTCCAGTGCCATTGCTTGTGGCTAGATACTGTACCCTCTGGAGCCGTGGGAGATGTTATAGTGTAAGACTCCCTTTATGTCCAACACACATGTGTGCACCCATCCTGTGATGGGTGAAAATGCTTAAATTGTATTTATTCATTCAACAATTATTAGTAACCATCTACTATATATGATACACCCTGGTAGCACTCAGTAGAAAAAGATAATCTCTGTACTCAGATGTTTTCCAATCAGATAGGAGGCAGATTAAAAAACAATTACAGTAAAGTGTCCAGAATGAAAATTCAGAGGTAAACACAAGATGCTGTAGGTATCTGCAACCCAGCTGGGAGTGGAAGTTCATGAGGAATTCACTGAAAAGTCATGTTAGTGTGGGATCTGAATAGAGATCTTCTGTTAGATCTTATGGTGAAGGATAAGGGAATTTAGCTAAATGAAAATGGAAATGTATCTTTTATGAGTGAATTTAATCCATTTACATTTAATGTGATTAGTAAACTGTCTGGACTTTCTCAACTCACCATATGTTGTGCTTTATGTCCCCAAGTTTTAATTTTTATTTTCTTTGGTTTTCCTCCCCTTTTGCCTTATTGTTTATTAAATGACTAAGTTTTTAAAATTTATTTTTCTCATCTGTTATGGGTATTACATGGGATATGATATGGGATTATATTTCTATTCTTTACAGGTTAATTTTCACTTAAAAATACCTATGCTTAATGAAACCTAAAATTCGTAAATACCTCTGTTGTCTTTCTGCATAATGAAATAATTTCAACTGCTCTAAGTCCAAGTTTCTATCTCTCATATCCCAATTATTGTCAAATACTGACCTTTGTTGTATAATTTCTTTCCCAAAATTATTCATTTTAACTAATGTATTAAGTAAACTGGTTTCAAGATGAAAGCAGAAAACAATTTTATTTTTTTATCATTGTTCTAAAAAAACAATAGTTTGATAGTTTTCTCTATCAAATATTTTCCCATTTCTGGATGAAATCTAGTCTAGATATACTTGCTTCTTAAGAGATTAATGATTATTATTATATTTTTCCCAGATAGTCTACATAGTTCAGATATCATGGTTATTATCTCTCATCGAGTTTAAAACTTCCTTCTCCTCTGGCTCCAGCCTGACTGGGGCTCAGAGCCTGCATGTGAAAGGCAGGTGTGGTCAATCTTTTGTCATTTTTATCCCAGCCTTTGCATCCATGCCTCCCCGGCCTGCCTGTTGGGGGTTCCCAGGTGTTGGGGGCTGGTGGAAGGTGACAAGTCTGTGGGTGATGCCTGTCTCTTGTTGATTGGTGCTGTCTGACAAGGAGCAGGACCAGATGCCCTGATCACCCCAGGGAAGCTCTGCAGGCCTGAGCCCCTCAGTCCTGGATCCCCCGCTGTGGAAAGGCCTCTGCAGCTTGGCCTCTGGCTGGGTCCACCACACCCCGGCCTCCACAGAGCTCTTCTCCCATCCTCTCGGCCTCCTGCACAAGGCCCCACTCTGCGTGGCTCACCTCTGGCTGCTTCCAGTGGAACCCAGGTCTGGCAGCTTGCCATGCTGGTTTGGCTGGCAGCATGAACACATCTCTCTTCCTATCCCTTTTCCCACTCTGCTGTCAGAAGCACCAGGCTTTCTCTAAGTGTTTGGGGTTGTGAGTCAGCTCTCAGTTCTGGGGTTTTACAAGCTCCATGGAGCCCCCGGTGTGCAGGCATTCTGGAAAGTTCCCTAAAGCCCTTCAGTTACCTTGGGAAAGGGAAGCGCTCCTCTTCCTTCTGCCACGCAGAGAGGGCTGTCGAACACACAATACACCAGCTGCTTCCAGAGAAGCCTCATTCCTGGCCTCTCCTTTGCAGTCTTCTTGGGCAATTTTTGTATGTTCAGATGGTGGTTGATTTGCCAGACTCATCTCATTATTTATAATACACAATCTTCTAGGATTTTTTGTTTTCAGTTTGGAGCTTTAGTCAAAATTCAGAGGCAGAAAAGCCCTATTTAATATAGAAGTAGACAGTTTTACAGTTAAATCTTATTTTCTTTACTCACCATTGCTTCCTGCTTTGCTTTACTTCCTGTTTAATTTTGTCCTAACTTGGCAATATCCTTAGGTAGTTGTTTCAGTGAGGCTCTGAAAACCACGTGTTCTATTACTCTGTCTAAAAAAGTCTCGTTCTCTTGTCTTCAGTGAATTATTAATAGATAGATTAACTGGACATAGAATTGTAGATTGAAAAGTAGTTTTCCATCAAAGACAATATTTCCCCCAAATATAATATTCTCCTGGAATCCTTTCCTACTGCTGAGAAATCTATTATTTTAATTACCCTTTTCTAGGTAATCATCTCTCTGTTGGAGTTTTTAGGACTTCTTTTGCTGGTGGTGGTGATGCTCACTGTCATGTTATTAGGTGTGGATTAGTTTTCATTTATCCTATTTGAGACTGTATCAAAATAGGTATTTTTTCATTTCTGGAAAATTCTCAGTCATTAAATTAACTAAGGGAATGCCGATACAGATGGCCTTGGGTGACTTCACTGGGTACCGGATGCTGTCTTTTTTAAAAGCGCAGCTTGTAGATATGGTTGTCCTTGACTCCTCGGTCCCATCTATTTCCTTGCCCTGCGTTAAGCCTGTCCTGGTAGGAGGTGCTTCCCAGGCTGTCTTGCATGTGCTGGGCAGTGGGGCGCCCGTAGGGTTTTCTCGGGTCCAGAAAGCACTGGTGTTAATTTCCTAGCCTAGGTCGTCTGCTGCGGCTGCTACAGTCGCCTCCTCCTGCTTGTGGTTGCCGCAGGCTTGCAACCTGGCCCTGTGCAGAGCAAGCTTCCTGTGGCACCTGTGCTCGGTTCTTCATCTCCTCATCTGTGGCCAGCAGGCTGCTGGATACATTCAGCCTCCAGTTAGAGACCAGGCTGTGTTTCAAGGCTGCTAGGTTTATGTGGGTGGATCCGCTCCTGAGCCCTGCCTTGTTCAGCTCTGAAGATATGTTTTCTCTGTCCAGTACAGAATGCAGAAATGTATGAACACGCCTGTGTTTACATGCAGATCCTTAGAACAGCATGGACCTGGGCAGCTTTACTGCCAATTTACTCCCCCAGCCTCCATTCCTCAGGATGGGTGATTTTCCTTTTATTCTTTAAAACATGGCCAAGTATTTTAAAAGTTACTCAGTTTTCTATTACGTACCATTAAGGGCAGGAAAAGGTTTGGTTGTTCAGGGTCCGCTGAATTCTCCACGTTGAGCACAAGTCACCTTTGAATTTCAAAAGTACATTTGTCTAAATTTGTCAATTGTACAATATTCAGAAGTAAAATATAAGAACAGATAAAGCAGTGTATTGTCAGATTTCCTCAGGTTAGTGGGAAGAAAGGAATTATTAAAGAGGAAATGGAAGAATCGGTTCTTAGTCTTTGTTTTTTGGTATGTGCATTTTTTAAAAAATCCCATTATTTCACATAGACTGGCGGCATCTTCTCTTCCAGGACTTTATTCGGAGCCCTCCATCTGCACCTTGGAGGGGCGCCTGAGGGCCCAGCTGGCACTGGAAAGACAGAAACCACCAAGGACTTAGCCAGAGCTGTGGCCAAACAGTGTGTCGTTTTCAACTGCTCGGATGGGTTGGATTATTTGGCTTTAGGAAAATTTTTTAAGGTTTGAATTGACTCCTCATTCCTTCATAATAGGATAATTGATCAGAAAGGACAGTTATTTCTAATGAAACATAATTGTACGCATGTAAAAGATTTGCTATATCTTAAAGATAAAATGAAAGTACTATCTTAATAATTCTCCAGGGAAGTAGAGTGTGTGTGTGTGTGTGTGTGTGTGTGTGTGTATGTGTGTGATGCCAAGACAATTAGCAGCTTAAAAAATAACAAGTCGAAATTATAATGAATAAAAAAGTCCAAGAATCACTTAAATAACATTTTATTCATCCTCTTTAATGATCTGTAAATGTACTATAATGATTATATAAGAAATAAATACCAAATTTAAAAGGTCCTACATGTTGTTTGAATAGCCATTATATTTCTATGTGTTTAAAGAAATATGTGGTATATAGTATTCATTTTTAGTCTATTTAGTGATATTCTTAATTCTTTGATTTAGAGTCATACACTGTAATAGTGTTACATTTCCATATCAATAAGTACTTCTTAATTATATGGATACTGTGTTTATGTTAGGTTCATGCTGAAAATAGGGTTACACATTAAAATAGCATACTTCTGTCAGGAACCTCACATTCATGTAACGGTTTGAGTCTGTGACCTCCTAAACATGATTTTAATCCTCCTGTTATGTAATGCTTTAGAGGTCAGTCGTGGATAAAATCACTAAATAATGAAAACTTACTGTTCCTTGACATAGATGGAGTTCATATTCAGTCCATTACAATTCAGGGTAATCCACTGGATGCAAACCCAAGGCCGCTGTCATTAGCTGTGTGGCCTCATGCTCATTACAGTAGTCAACATCTTGTATAGTATTGAGTTAGTTTCCTTGCATAAAATTTGTCTATAAGGTGCTATGCATCCTGCCTGGCATATGCCAGATACTCAGTGAAACACACACACGGAGTATAATGTGTGCTTCACAAGTATTTGTTGAATTTTTTGAGATTTTTAATATGTAAACATGGATCTGGATGGAGCTAATGATGTTTGGATTTCCAGTTTTTCCTTGTGACCCAGTGTCCCATAGTTGAAAGTTAGTGGTGACTTCAGATTGCAAATGGGGCCCCTGGGTTCCATTAATTGACCCCTGAGGTACTCAGACCACAGAGCAGTTTTGTAGTCAACAGAAGTCACTGTGGGTGGAGGACAGTTACAATCCCCTCCACTGAGTCCACGCAGAAACAGCAAATAGATCAACATGTAAATAAAAAGTAAGAAAGACTTCAACAGTGCAGGTGCACATCTAAATGCCAGAAAATATACAGGAAGTAAAAAATTAAATTGGAAAATGTTCCAGTTGATCAAACTCTATTCATACAGAATAATGAATTGGCATTGAAAAAAATAAGCTGTCTTTAATGGTAAAGGTGAATAAGTAATTTCCTTGATAGGATATTAAATCCTTGAAAAGATCAGGTGAAATTGCAACATTTCAACATAATATTCCATCAGATAAAGTCGAAAAATTTCATTACTCTTTTCTCCCAGGGGCTGTTATCTTGTGGAGCTTGGGCTTGCTTTGATGAGTTTAACAGAATCGATTTGGAAGTACTTTCTGTGGTTGCTCAACAAATCCTTACTATCCAAAGAGGTAACAGACCAGGCTCTATGTGCATTGTGTGAAAAACAGAAGAAAGATGGGAGGTCATGAGCGACTCGAGCCACATTGTGTGCGATATTGCTGAGTTGTTTCTTTCCTGTTTACCCACAGGCATTAATGCAGGTGCTGTTATCCTAATATTTGAAGGAACCGAACTAAAACTGGACCCCACATGTGCTGTCTTTATAACAATGAACCCTGGCTATGCTGGGCGATCGGAACTACCAGATAACTTGAAGGTATGGCGGTGGTCTGATTATATCTTCCACTCCCTTTTCTCACGATTTACAAAGTACTACTATTTCATAAAAGAAAGAATTACTACCCTAGAATTGTATGCAAAATATGCATTTAGGCATTATAATATTTTAGAAAATTGTTCTAGATGATAATTTTTAAAGTTTTGAATGCTTTAAAAATAGATACGTACCCCAGGTATAATTTTCAAATTTTATAATTTTAAAATAAGGCTGAGTATAACAAATTAGAAAACATAAAAATTCTAAAATAGTACCTATTCTACTAATTACTGTATTGTATTAAATGACCCCAGTTTTTAAAAAACAATGTTTAAATCAGACAATAGTATATAGTGGGAGTTTTTCAAGTTAATAATAAAACATGAGCCTTTTCTCATCTTTAGAAACACAGGTCATGCTAAAAATAAGTTCACCCAACTTTTCTTCCTGCTGGACACTTAAGTTACTTTCAGTTTTTCTGCACTATAAATAATGGCACACTGGGGAGTTTCACTTAGAGCCTTTCTCTGCTTTGAAACGCGTTCTTAGCTGGAGTCTTAGGAGAGCTCTGTTGTGAAATTGTCTTCCAACGCCACACCACTGTTTCCCTCCCATATTGGTTCTCAGTTCTCACTAATGTACAGCACTAACTTTTTTATTGTTGTTACAAAGAACAAAACACTGTCCTAATCAAATAGACCAGAACCGACACTTAATAAAGCAACTTACTGGATTGCGAGTGAAGTATACTTACTTCCTCTATGCCTTTGGTAGCCATTTCCTGCTCTTCCCCAGTGAGCTGCATGGCTGGGTGTGCTTTGTGCACTGAGAAGACCGTTGGGGAATAGGTAGGGTGACGGTGACCGTGGCTCCCAGACAGCCCTCCTGCCTCTGTCCTTCAGGCCTCCGCTGTTCATTGCAGAGACTGACAGCTTCTCAGGCCAAAGGGCAATCTTTCTCTTCCCCTGGAAAGACTTTCGCTACGACTGATTGCTGCAAGTACTTTGAGCTCCACCTCTTGACCTTCTGTGTATTGGATCAGATGTTTTGGTGCTTTGCCTTCCTGGAGGAAGGTGTGATTTCAAAATGAAAACTGGTGAATCCTTTATCTAAGAAGCATTTTGTGACTTTCCCTTGCAATTTTCTTTTGGAAAGCTCTTCTTGTAGCAGTTATATTATCCATTCACTTCCAGTCTTCTTTTGTTCAGTAGACTCAACTTGAATGCATAAGTATTTATAAAAGCAGGGAACAGAGCACTGTGAGTAGCTGGTCATAAAAAACCGGAAACCACTCTTGGGTTACTGGTTGGAGCTGTTAATGGCCTGGACTTTTCCACAGCGTGCGTTTTGGAACAGTATCAGCCTGCGCCTGGGCTTGTTGGGGTATGCACTTTCCTTCTCCATTAAGCCCACAGCTATTCTCAGCACCACAGCTTTTGACTTGAGTTGTTGTGGCTCTTCCTATTGTGCTGCCTTGGTTGTGTATGGAAATACCTAACAAGTCTGAAAGCAAATAGTAACATATTCAAAATAAAAAATGAAAAAAGAAGGAAGAGGCAGCTGAGCCCAGAAAGCATGTTACCAGTCGGGATGCTCTGGAAACCTCCCTCACGTTCCCTGGTGGTCTCAGCGCCCTATTTCACAGGAGTCCTGCCTACATCCCACTGGTCCTGTCCCCGCCTCACTTGGTCTCCACCCCTCCACTCTCCCTGGGGTGTGTGACTGTGACATCATGCATCACACAGTTCTCTCTGCTGCAATGCTGCCACTGTGATCTATCACAAGCAATCTAATCACATCTTCCCCAGGCTTTAGAATCCCCTTGGGTCCTTTTTGCCTACAGAATAAAGCTCAGATCTCTTAGTACAACCTATGAGCTCTTGGCGTGGGGACCTACTTCCTAGGTGCTGCGTTTCCCTACTGATCCTGTTACCAGAGGCCTCCCTGCCCTCAGCGTGCTGTGCGCTGTCTCTAAACCACCACTTGCCTGTCTGACTGCTCCATCCAGGCTCCTCCTTTCCTCTAGCAGCAGAGCCCAAAACACACAGTCATTCAGACATGATCACCGGTGCCGTCCTGGACCTAGCAGAGACCCAGAGCTGCTGTGTCGTGTGCACATCCTTGGAATTTCGGTTTGCTCTCCTGGTCCCCTGCTCAGAGCTCCTGAGGTGCGAGTGATGGACGTGTTTCTCCATCTCTCTGAGTCATTGTGGCTTCAGAGCTGGAAAGTTCTCCTCTCCCTAGAGGGCAGGACCCAGCCAGCTCAACCTGGCTCTTCCCTGTTGTGTGCCTCTCCAGCATCCGTGGTCCCGGGAAGCTCCGGGCACTGGTCCTTTTGCTTCCTCAGATGTGAGCCAGACACCGGTTCTTGCCCCCAGTACAGGGGACCCTCATAGCTCTGCTGAACTCATGGTGGTGGGGGACTCATAGTATAACAGCAACTCCCTACAAGGACATTTTTCCACACTTCCTCCCTCTTCTCACTCTCAAACACCTGATGACCTATAGGCACGACCAGAGAGCGGTTCGAGGGCTGTGTGTTTGTCTGGTCTATTTCTGTATCGGCCAGGGCACATGCACTTGGGTAAAAACAAGTAATATTCCAGGCAGAAAGTCCACTCTGACTTTCAGTTACATAAAACCTCCTTGACAGGGCAATTTCCTAACAGATTTCCACTTTGAAGAAGCTGTGTTTAAGATTGAAACTCTCCCAAAGAATCAGTACTCAGTGATCACTTCAGCATGGTTGGACACTGGCAGCCGTAGTAACATGGGTGTGTTCTGCATCTCCCAAGTCACGAAGCCAATAGCCTCGGGCACAGCTCTCAGGAGTGTTGTGGTGAGGCACCTAACAGGGTCAAAGGAAAAAGCAAAGTTTATCCTCAGTCTTCCATTTCATTCACCTAAAATCAAGCCCATTGCTGAACAAGTCAAAGTGTCAATAGAATCGATTCCAGGTCCTTAGAAAGAAGTGGCAAGAAGGTATTGGTTGGATTTTTTAAATTGCACCAAGAGGCAGGCCTTTGAAAGAACAGGAGTGGCAGCATGTGCATTTCTTTGTGTATTGCCCTTCTTCTTTACCCATGGGGCAGAAGCAGTGGAGCAATTATTTTGATAAAGTCACTGAGACGAAGACAAAGGATTATGCTCATGTTGATCGCTTGTATTCAAATTTATTAAATTCTTGGCATGTTAATATGTATATGTAAGATATACATTAATTCATGTTGATATATATGTAACAGATATGTTAATATATATGTCACATTAATATATAGCTCATATATTTATATATATATATATATATGGTATACCATTGGATAAACTGGAATCCCATTGGATTTTTTCCCCAAAGGCACTGAATTTTCCTCAGACTTACTACCATTACTAACGAATTACTCCTGACACATCCCAGATCAAACTGTTATATCAATATGTCACACACCTTGTTTGAGAATCACAGGTTTAGGCTTAAAGCATTCTAAAGTACGTGTCAGCGTTGAGCCTTGGTGGAGAGGTGCTAACCAACAGAACTCGGTGATGGACCCCTGAGCGCCTTTCTTTCCTGTCTCCTCGCCGCCAGCGTGGCTTTCCTCACCCTCCACATCCAAATCACTGCTGGGGCTGAGTGTGAGGAGGAATTTGAGAGCAACCTTGAGTGGTCGGAGGAAAACTCATACCTACCACACAGGTTCAGGTGTTGGCCCTAAAGTAGTGCTCACTTGAGCTATCACAGAACAGCTGCCTGTCCGCCACTCAGCTGTTAACTCAGCTTGGACATGTTCAAAAAGTAGTTGTCAAGAACCTCTCTTTGCAAGATCTCGACAGCAGTTCCCTTCCATTCTATTTTTGTTTGTTGTTTTTTCCTGTGTAGGTAACAGTCACTTGCTTAAGTCTCTGCTCCAGGTCACTTGCTCACACCACATTTTCTGATGTTTTATTCTTGCTGTTCTTTAATGGTAACCTTATTAATAAAACAATGATATTAAAGCCCCTGACCAATGATTCATGTAACACATTGGCAGGATCTTGCTTGATGATCTTTTAGTTCTCAGACTTGGCAGAGTCATAATAGCACACTTGAGCAAGATGTTCATTTTTCTGTCTACCTTGTGCTTTTGGCAATTCTACTAATTTCCAGAAGGTACAGCATTTACAAATTATATTAATATAGCTGCAATTCACTCTGGGGGCTTCTTTTCTTCCCCTAGAATATTGTTTTTCCTCTTTAATATAAAAAGTCAGGTTGGACTACATGAGCTATCACAGTGAGTTCTGATACACGCTAATATTCTAAACCTAAATTTTATATTAATTCTTTAAAAGCAATTCCATTTTCCGTTTGCTTCCTATCTCGTGACATGTGTTTGTCCCATGATAGCTGAGTAAATTGTCCACCTGGTTTGGAAAGCTGAGTCATCTGTAACAGTGATCACCCTCGCCGGCTTTGCAGAGCTCTTCCCATTGTGATTGTTTCCTAAAGTCTGACTCAGTGACCGTAGGCGAAAGCAGGTTCAGAGCACCCTGACGGATGCCACCTGGCGAGCACAGACTTGGTACTGGGGCGACCTGACTCGCTTCGAGTGCAGAGCCCAAGCCTGGCCCCAAGCCCTGTCGGCCACCCCAAGCGAGAAGCCTGGAAGAGACTGAATGCTTTCCCCTACAACAGACTGGAGCATAGCGTAGCTGATGCTCAACGTATACATGCAAACGTTTTGTACAGAAAGTTAATTTATTATGTGGGCATAAGAGAAAACCAGTTGGTTAAATTATTTTTCTATGATTTGAACATTATAATTTAATGGTTGCAGAAAAACTATAAAGCCATAACATGTTGCAAATACAGAGCAGGGCTATTTGTGATGGTGTTTTTTATTTAAAATAATTTTGTATGAGTCCATATTTGCAATAGACAATGACTGCATTCATTGTGGGGAGTCGGTGCGTAACACATCTCAGCTCTTCATCAGTTCCCTTCCCCTCACCTCCATCTCTTTACTCTCTTCCTATTTGCAAAAGATCTATGTCCTTGTTTCCTATTATCTTTTATTTTGTTCTTTAATTTATTTATGCTTTGGGTTTCTCATATAAGAAAAGCCATGTGGTGGTTAAGCTTGTGTGTCTGTTTTACTTCACTTAGCACTGTGGTCTCAAGGTGCATCCATTTCCCTACACAAGACTCAAGTTCATCATCCTTCTTCATGGCAGAGTAGTGCTCCGTGGTGCACAGTTTTGACTTCTTTCTCCACTCCTCTGGCAATGCTCCTATAGGCTGCTTCCGAGACTGAGCTGCTGCGTGATCACCTTGTTAAAAGCACCCTCCCCTTGTACCACAGGCTCTCTTTCGGACCGTGGCCATGATGGTCCCTGACTATGCCATGATCGCCGAAATCATCCTGTACTCCTGCGGGTTCGTCACTGCGCGGCCGCTGTCCGTGAAAATCGTGGCCACCTACCGCTTGTGTTCAGAGCAGTTGTCCTCTCAGCACCACTACGACTACGGGATGCGAGCTGTGAAGTCGGTCCTCACAGCTGCTGGGAATCTAAAGGTAGGAGCGCACGTGCTTCTGACCGGGGAACTTCCCCTGTGTGCACTAGTGTGTGTGTCCCCAAGGAGCAATGAGCCACTTTCGTTAACTAACTGAACAGAGTCAGTGATCGTACTAAAGTAATTTTTCATCTTGCGCACATGAAAAGGAAGTCTTAGGAAACCTTACCTGGGTGATTCTTCATGATTTGAGCACTGTTTCATAATTTAAAACACACAAAACCTGGGTGCAACCAGGGAATAAAATTGTTTACTGCTGAGAATTTATTTTTGTTTGTTTTTCTTTGAGACAGGGTCTTGCTATGTAGCCCAGGCTGGCCTCAAACTCATAGCGATCCTCCTGTCTCAGCCTCCCAAGTACTGGGATTACAGGTGTGGGTCAATATGCCTGGTGACTGCTGAGAAATATTTTGAAGACTTATAATTTATATAACTGGCATCACTTTAAAGGAAATAATGTATAATTAATAAAGGCCCTAGAACATTGTGACTTAATGTAATGATCATTTGTAGACAACTGGCCTCACAATAATTGATTTGTAGTAAAACATTTGCATTTAAAATAGTCTAATCATGTAAAACCATACTAGATTAAAAACCTAAATTTTTAACCACTTGGTTAACTTTGTATTGGAAGTATTTTGCGGACCTATGAAATATAACTATATTTAAGGCAGCGAGTAGGCTCTGGTTCACAGTAAAATGTGACCTTGGAGTTTACAAAAGTTTTCATGCTCATGATTTGTAGATGACGCTGATTTAAAAATATATGCTACATGATTAAAGACATTGGCATGCATTTCATCGTCTATAATAATGTAATCAAGAATTGTGATATACAGTAGTGATATTCCATTTCACATTAGCCTAACATAACTTCAAGTCATTGTTTTTTGCAGTAAATAGAAATGCCTAGTTTATATTAACCTGGCATGTCAGGGTCACTTTGTGGTCTGATAATGGGAAAGATAATGCGTTGCTCTAGTGAGTGTCATCCCTGAAATCTTGACTATGGAATCAATCGAGCTATTAAAGGCAGGCTGCAAACAAATCTTGCAAATGAACCTATCATTCTTTGTCAAAAGCTAATGTAGAGTTGTTGAATATTATGAAGCCATTTCT